TAAATGTAGAGCGTATCCACATGAAAAATTAAACACTTCAAAAGGTGTTATAAAAAGCCGCAAACTTTCATTAGCAACACAAGAAATTGAAAGTGCATTAAAAGTACAGGGTCTAAAGGAATATAAGAGAATATCTATTCGAAGAAACAATATTATAGAGACACATACATATATACTAACATTTAAAAATCCTGTAATACCAAAAGAAATCAGGATTGGCTACACTATAGAAAGGGTAGAGCAATTTATACCAGCTCCCCTGCAGTGCTTCAAATGTCAAAAATTTGGACATCACAAAGACATTTGCAGAGGACACCAAGTGTGTGAGAAATGTTGTGAATGTGATCTAAATCACACACAGAATGAATGCAGTAATGTGAAATGCGCTAACTGACACGAAGAATACCCGGCCTTTTCAAGGACTTGTGATATCTACAAGAGAGAAAAGAAAATAATGTATGTAAATCACACAAAAAATATACCTTTCCTTTGTTGAAAGCTATATGGGAACAAAAACCTATGTTAATTTAGTACAAAAGCTAAATCAAAAACCCCAGAACATCACTCCAGATAAGTATAAAAACTTATAGAAAAATTAATAAATTTGAATACAAATGAATGGCCAACATTCCATGAAAATCTTAAAAGGATGTATTCAACAGAAATAAAACAAACTGAGTCTTGTACAAAAACAAAATTATGATACCAATGTTGAAATGCCCATAGAAAATTCTAAGATGACTGAATCCACAAATGAAAAGCAACAAAGATCATTGATCTGACTTCCAGATATTAACAAAGACATAAGTGAAAATAAAAGAAAAAATATTGCTATTAAAGAACAAAATGCTATTAAAAATATTACATAACCCACCCCGATAAGCACATCAAACAAATTTGAGGAAATAGAAATTGAAAATAAAACTTCTCAAACAAGCAAATCTCAAAAAATAAAATTTCACCAATCTCAAAATTAAATTTAAATGAACAATATAATCCAGTGGAATATCAGAGGATCAAGGGTCAGTTATTCTGAATTGTTGCTGCTTATAAATAAATACTGCCTATTAATCATATGCCTTCAAGAGACTCATGTCAAAAGCAACAATACCATCAACATTAAAAATCACCACTCATACAATTATATTAAACATCACACCAATAGACTTTGTGGTGGATCATCAGTAATCATTAATAATAATATCCCACACAGAGAAATCATACTAGATGCAAATTTGAAATGACCAGGCAGACTGAAGCAAAGAAAGCTATTTATAATAGCAAAAACAAAATTACTGTATGCCAATTATAAAGCAGTAGTGAATAGAATTATCTTTAAGAAGTAGCAAAATCATTGGGATAAATACACTAATAACAAACTACAAAACATAAAACCTACCATTGGAGAATGGAACACAAAATACAAGAAGAGAAGAGAACAAGTTGTGTTGACCTGCCTTCACATAGGCCACATCTACATCACCCACCATCATTTACTGGAGGGCACAGAATCCCCAATATGTACTACATGCCAAAAAAGATTCACATATACTGCTTGAGTGTATAAACTTGAATCGAGTGCAGAAACAATATTACCAAACATGTAATCTGAAGAAACACTTTATGGAAATAACACCATCTAGGAAACTAGATTTTATAAAAGCAATTGGAATGTACTCAAAAATATGAATGGCCGAATACTGCTGCATGTGAGTGTGTTCTATCAAACTATGCTAAGATCCATTCCAAAACAGTGTCAGCATTAAATAACCCACTGAGGTTGATATGCCGTAAAACAAAATAACCAAAACAATCTCTTGAAGACAAGATAGTTACAGTTTTTAGCTGCCTTAAAACCACTGGCATTTTTCTGATTTTGCCATATATGTTTTGTTTGGCATTCTTTTTCCAAAAGAGACCAGTTTCATCTGCATTGAAAACTTTGTCTGTAACTGCCTCCTTCAATTATTTTGGCTAGTTTTGGAAGAAATTCTTCAGCAGCAGTCTTATCTGCCAATGAAATTTTACCTCTCATTTTTATATTATACAGTGTGTTTCTTTTGAGGAATTTTGTAAACTATCCTGTACCTGCAGCAAATTCATTCTTTTTATCACTAGACACATGTAATGCACTTGATGACACCAGATCATTAATCTTGTAAAATCTTAATACCACCTGTTTTATAGTTTTACCATCTACTGGTATCCTTTTTTGATTGTTTTCTTTTATCCGTATTATTAAAGCTTTCTCCATTTTTTCTTGAATCATGTCTTTTATATATTCTAAACAGAAGCTACAGATCTTCTAATGGCAGCATCATTTCTTTTGATTGTTCTTATCATAGTTTCATGCAGACAGAAAGCTCTACCCAAAGACACTGCACTTTCAACCTTACAAAGACAATCCACTGAGCCAGAGTCATATGACCCAGGGATTGAACTCACAATTAGTATGTCACCAAATAAATGGTCTGAATTTCTGGGACTATTGTTGTTATCAGAATGTTTTTGTGTATTTCTGCCTTCTCCAGGCCTTTGACATTTCAGTGGAAACAGTTTGACCAGTAGCTGAGCAGTAGAACAAAATGAGTAATCCCTAGATATGGACAGAGGAACAAGAACAATCTACTCCCATAGATTAAATAAAGGGTTCAGTTTGAACTGAATTGACAGGCACCTGAAGGGCACAAATGCAAAAACATTTTGAGAATAACAAAAATGAAAACATTAGTCTAAATGTAAATAATGATAATTCCTTATTCCTGAAATTCAAATAGAAATTATTAAATCAGTATGGACTTAATCTGATATATCAATTGTGGCAATTAGAAAAACTCTATCTAAAATTAGCATGGATTTCAAACCACCTGACATTCCTATATATATGCAGGGACCTAAAGCTGGTTCCACCAGGTTTATCAATCAAGACATGAGTCAGTTCCAAGAGAGCACAAAGGGTAGTGGAAAGAGCAGAACAGGCCCTCCTGAGAGGAAAGGATTCTTTGCAACTATTGGAAGAAACACTGAACTCTGGGTAAACAACAACAACATTCCTTAACAGTATAACATTCAACACAGATTAAGTAGAAACGAGGCTACCAATAACTGAGCATTATTAAAAAGAATAAGTTAAAATATCCCTTGACATGGACAGCAAAATGAGAACAACCTACATCATAGATGGAATAGAGAGATCAGTTTAAAATTCCCTGAAGATTATAAGGATTGACAGACACCTGATGAAGTCTTGAGGGCACAATGGTTGAAACATTGTGATAATAACAAGTGAGGAACATTAGGCAAAATGTAAATAAACATTATGTATCACCTGATTCATTGTAAAATCTTCCATGTTGAGATTGATTTGACATAGAGTGAAAAATGACTGCTGCATTTCTCATATTAAACTCTTTCTCTTTTTTTTTTCTTGGGATTGTTTTCATTCTTGGTCAGCAGATTATTACAAATGAAGATAACAGTTCAAATAATATATACATATCTGTATACAGATTTTATACAAGTTTGATTAAAAATCAATGAAAGATGCAATATTTGAAAAATTATGAAACTGACATAGCACAAAAAACGAAAACTCTCTGATAATAGCTTCTCAAAGCAGAATGCACACTCAGACATTGAATAATTTATAATTCATCTTTAACCAGAAACTAGGGAAATGGCCTGAAAAATAGAAAGATAAGCAAAGATTCTTAAAGAACTTTCACTGTTTTTAACCAGACTTGTGTAAATAAAAAACATTGCTCCCCAAATACATCTTCTGTGTGTGTAACATTTTCTCAGTCTTAAGTTCTGGCTTCTAGATTACACAAACACCAATGTTGAATTGATTACTGAAACTCCTTGATGGTACTACATACGTTAACTACTACAATCTATATCTTTCATGTCTTGGTTCTGGGGTTTCATTGATTTTGAGAAGATGAATATTAATGATAAAAGCAGAATTTTCCTAGTTCTAAAGTACACCTAAGAAATTATCCAATCTTTCAAATACTACACTATTAACATTATTCAGACTATTGTCCTCATCTTTGTTGCCATATTTAAGGACACATGGCACAGTGGATAAAGGCATTGGTTAGATCCAGTGACAGGACCCTAAGAGTTGTGAGTTCAATACCTGGTTAAGGCAGTGGAGAACTTGGAGAGGTGAATTAACAGGAGATAACTGATAACTGACATCCATTAGACATGGCACGTGGCACTAGAACAGTCTACCCCAGCAAGTGAAATAAAGAGTTCAGTTCGACATTCCAGCCACCTGAAGAAGGTCAGAGCGTGTAATGGCCGAAACATGATAAATATGGCAACAAAGATGAGGACAATAGTCCAAATAATGTAAATAGTGTATATAATACTTCATCTCAGAAATATAAACAGATACTTTCAAATTAATGAAGTCAAAATCACATTCTGAGTGCCCAGAATTTATTGAAAAAAAATATGAACACTGAAAGTCAACTAATATAACACTATGCAGAAATAGAGCAAAATTATCACACCTGTTGGACAAACACCACAGAGAAAAGTTAGAACAAGCGGAGCTTTTCGGTTTTGATCACAAAAGTAAATATTTTCAAAAAATAGAGAAAGACAAAAATGATCACTCTCTTTAAAAGAAAACTGCAATGACATCAAGAAATATACAAACTCAAGCGAGTCAGCCCAAATGGCACCATCAATGAGTTCTATCAACAAATGCAAGATTGAAATACAACATAGAAACCAGTACTCAAAAAGCCTGAACAAAGAGTGTAACAATTATAGAATATATAATTCACAAAAGCAATACCAAGTTATAAACAAGAACATGTCTATTCAATAAATGCCTCATTTACCTGAGGATGATTATAGTATGGGCCATCTGTAATGTGGGGAAAACAGCATCAAATTAAATAGAACTGAATTTTAATTGATATTGATCTGGTTTAAAGTAATTTATCAATGGCAGTAAAGTCTGTGCTTTGTTTCAATTTCAGGGTTTCCATATCAGCAAACACCTGTCTGACACCCAGCAATCTGAGATGAGAGCTTACATGGCACTGGTGGAAAATGTGCTTGTCAATGCTGAGGTGAAGTATCTATAATATCAAGTTCCATGATTAAAATTCATGAAATCCTACAAGTACAGAGTCAGAATTGTTGGATTACATGACAAAAAGTAAAGATATAACCAATGCATACAAATCACTTACTAATCAATGATTTACTTGCATTCAACAATATCTTCATACCAAGTTTATTTTCCTTTTGGAACTTAATGTGACCCTCTTTCAAAAAGAAATAAATTTTTGGATAAAGGAAGTTACATGTTTCAAGCATCTACTTGATCATTTATTCAATGTGTCTAAACTTTCAAAATGGCATTGCTAAAACTATTTTCAAATCCATTTTATCAAACAAAAACTATCACAAAAAAATTCTTTGAACCATTTTGTCTTAAAAAGCTGTGATATACTGAAAATTTCTCAAGTAGTATTTTTTCTTGTTATGATGAATTTCTGAAGATATTAAATATATTTTTGGTTTTTATAGCTACCACAATTTTTACAACATTGTTAGCATAACATTCTATAACAAACTTCTATCTATGATTATGTTAGATCTAGCAATTTATAAATTTAAATAACATTTGTTTCAAAAAAAAGTTGTTTCCAATAGCTTCTTAAATTGAGGTTTTTATTTCTTGCATCCACATTTCAAGGCATGATTGTCTCTAATACCCCAGTCAAGAAATTAGATTATTCAAAAATATTTGTAGCAATCAAGATTTTATTATTATTATTATTAATGTTGAGTTTTTATTTTTATAAATTTTTGCTATTATTTTCTTTATATGTGATCTTCCTTTCAGCTTTATTTGTCTTGGTGCCATGAGGATGTATATTATGAGGTAAATAAATCTCTTTTCATTTAATTATAACTTTAAAAAAAACTATTATCATGTGGACAATACCATTATTCTCTATCTTTTATAAGTAGATCGATATTAAATGTCAGCAATGATGTTACTGAATTCTTATTTTCAAGAGATTTTGTAGGATCCTTGCAAGTCATCAGTTATTTCATTTTGCTTAAAGTTTCCTGTATTAACACTCTTATGCATTACATATCCAATTTTCTTTTCTTTAAATGCTCATTACAAACCTTCTTTGTATCTCTTATGTTACTTTTTGATAAACAGGGAAAAATAACTTAGACTTAAATGTGTGAATAACTTAATACATTAATTGTATATATTAATTGAATATATCCATTAATGATTCTGCATTTTTCTTGTTTGTTTCCAAGATCACTAAACCTCGCTATAGTTCATGTTATCCATGGCCAATCAACCTGATTCTACCTCTGAAAAAGTTTGCAGAAATTAAAAGCAGGTTAAGCAGTATTGGTTGGTACAACAAGTCATTTGAAGATGTAAGTTGTGTTGCTTGTGTTATTTTTTTTTCCTTCCTATCAAGCCATTGCAAAAAAACTTACCTTCATTAAAATTAGGTAATCTAGCTATTTCTAGATACTAACATATTTGCTGTCTCTCCCTCTCTATATAGCTATCTATATATATGTATACACACACATTTCATTAAAGACGATAGGCAAGGTACTGCGATTAAGCTTTTTATTTAATTTTTCTTGTATTCGAACAAGTGTTTTCTTTTCTGGACACAGAGTATGTAGAAACTGTCCAAATGTTCTGTAATTCCAAGCACTTTCAGCTATACTTTTAGCCATTATCAAGGATGATTTTATTTTTGCTTAGTAATTGGGTGTCTGGGAATTGTGTATGTTTCTAGAGTTATAGTGATGTTTTATTTTCCGAACACAGTTAGCACATTGTGACTATGTTCGTAGTGAACACTAATAATTCTATCCCACTGCCATCTTTCAAACCATTTATACTCAAAAAATAACTATATGCATGCACAACTAAAGTCCTATTCTATGATCATAATAGCAACATTTACACCCAAACTAATGGTGTTCTTATGGGAAATCTACTTGGCCGTGCTTCTCCAATTATTACATGTCCCATGTAGAAAACATGATATTTAAACAGGTCTGTAAACTTGAAATATATGTCTGCTATATAGGTGATATTTTTATTTTAGCGAATAACAAGAGAAATAGATACTCAAAAGACCACATTTGTAAAAAAAAACAAAAAAACTGTCCTTAACTTTACCGATGAACTTAGTCAAAAGAATAAACTCCCATTCTTAGACGTACTTGTAGAATATAGTAACAACACTTTTACCACTTCATTGTATAAAAACCCCATTAGCAGAAACTCTTGCCACCTTAACTTAAAGAGTGAATACCCACTCAGATACAAAATAGCAGTGATAAAAAAACTTCCTAAAAAGAGCATGCCAGAATTCATCCTCTCGACTACTCTTTCTTAAAGTATTCAATAATACAAAATGGACACTAGTTAACAATGGCTTCCCTAACCACCTTATAGACCACCAAATTAGACTATTTCTTCCTAAAGTAAATAACAATAATAGTAAACACACAGTCAAAAATAACATAAATATTTTCTACAAAAGCCAAATGCACATTAACTACAAACAAGATGAAGCTTCACTTAGAAATATCATAAAGAAATACACTACCCCAATTGACCCAAACAAAAAATTCAAATTATCTACTACAAAAAATTTAGAATAGCTAACCTACCTTATCCTCTAAAATAACAACACACCAGCAAAATCAAAATTACAATGAACAAACATTATTCATGAGTTCAAATGCCCCTTAAGGAACTGTGTTTCTGATCAAACCAAATTCATGGCTATTCAGACACCTTATGTTACACCTATCCAACTACAGTTCTATTAGAATCCATTTAAACATACACACAAACATACCAGACTTCATCCAAAACATACTAGTAGAAAATACAAATATAATAGCCTCATCCACATATAAAAAAAGGATTAAAAATAATGGAAGCCTTAATAATAAAAAGAAAAGGTCAACACTCAATAATATTAACTACAAACATGGCCACAATGTGCTAATTGTGTTTGAAAAATAAAACATCCCTATGACACTAGAAACATACACACAGTCCATACACCCAATTAAAAAGCAAAAATAAAATCATCCTTGATAATGGCTAAAAGTATAGCCGTAAGCACTCAGAATTGCAGAACATTTGGACACAGAAAAAAAAACGTGTCCAGAAAAAAAAACATGTTCGAAACACAGGAAAAAATTAAATAAAAAGCTTACTCGCAGTACCTTGTCTGTCGTCTTTAATGAAACATCTATAAATGAAGGATTATACTATATATATATATATATATATATATATATATATATATATATATATATAAAACAGGTTGTTGTTGCCACGCCAGGATAAAATAATCTTAAGGACAGTGGTCATAATTTATTATTAAAATAGGATATGAAAGTATCATCATCAGAATAAAACAAAGTAGTTGATAAGAAAAATTTTTACCAATCAACTGATATTAAGATGTAAATTACTGAACCATATATATATATAGAGAGAGAGAGAGAGAGAGAGGTGGTGCATGGCTGAGTGGTTTGCATTCCAATCATAAAACACAAGTTTGAATCTCAACAAGGTTGATTTGTCTTGATAATATATCAACCTGGAGAGTTGATTCCAGCACCATTCAGAAGTGCCTGAAAACCATACCACAGGTTGACCCAAGTCTAGTAAGTGAAATTGGGTCGATGGAATTGTTCCAAACCTGTTAATAGCCATGCTAGCATGAAGTCACAAATCATTAAGACCAAGGGTTCGAGCGTACTGGCTGTTTAAACTGTTGATTATGTGTACTCTCTCCCAGAAACTGTAACTGAGGCCTACTCAACACGGTTACAGTATAAACAACAGGTTGACTCTGTAGTGTAGGTGTTGAAGAAACACAAAATGTTCCTGAGCAGGTGTCTACAACAGAGATTAGTTAGCCACCTAGCAAATGGGCATATTCAAAAACAAGTAGCCAGCTATTATTATATATACAAGAGAGTAAAGAAAAATTCTCAGATTGACTCGTTTACCAAAATCTGATCAATTCTTGGTTAGACTGAGAACTTTTCAGCAATCCCTTATATTTAATAATTGTTATCCAAATGATATATTGTATTCTTCACTTTAAGAAAGAGACAGGGAATATAGTTTGATAATTATCACTACTTGTATCCTATAATAATTGTTAGATTTGCATATAAATTTCATACACTATCAACTATCATGGAAGAGATGTACCTTTTTCATGTTGTAATGTCATATAAATAACTCCAATAGAATAAAGACTAGCTACTTCAAAACTGAAGCACTGAGAAATCAAATACATAACATTTCTTGGGAGGGGTTATGTATGGAAGATGTGTAATGAAAATACTTAAAGATGTTTTGTCAAATTGGTTAAGAAATGTTTATGTGCTGCATTTGTAATACTAAATTCTGCTACTAATAGAATTTACTTGTAAAACTCACCAAATCTGAAATACTCTTCTTCAACAGCAAATAACACAATTTTATATGTAAAGGCAATTTAAATTTTTGTTTTTATTTTGATATGTCCCACTGATTATCTGAGATCATAAAAAAGAATTTTATTTAACAGGAACAAAATCTACATTAGCAAGACAAAACCTCACTTTTGATATTGTATTCCATAGATTTATATATATTTGCATTTATTAACCACTTCTGTGTCGTTTTATATTCAGTCACTGTTTAAAAAGTCATAAAATCCAAAATGATTATAAACATGAAAATTATTTTTTTAAATGTAAAATATTTTTAACTTCCTTAAGTCTTAGTGTAATATAGTTTCTTTTCTTTTTTAATTAGTACCTTTTATTTTTGCTTCTTTTTTTAAAAAAAAAAATAATGCCTTTAAGTCTAATGCTCTCAGTATGAAGGAGTACTGAAAAGTTCTCAGTCCAACCAAGAAGGGATTCTCCCAAAATTCTGATGTTTTGTCAGAATTTGAGAAATGGGCCAGGCCAAGAACGTTTCAGAACTTACCCTGTATAATTTTAATTGTTATATCTAAGAATAAATTTGCTGATAACAATATAAAGTGATAGAATAATTGCTGAAATTTGTAAAATCACCAATGTGTTGCACCTATTGTTACATGCTTGTATATCAGCAACATTTCTTTGCATACAGGTTTGTGAAGAGATTAATACATGCTGTCAGGCTCTCTCTGAAAGACTTGGTAACCAAGCTTACTTTTTTGGTGACAAGTAAGTATTTTTAATACCATTTTGTGTGTTTATGTACAGAAATACAAAAAAATAAATAAGCAAAACCTATAGTAGTTGGTTTCAACCTCCCTCACTTGAAGAAATGGACTGAACTAGATGATTCTGTATGTCATATAAAGATAGAATTGTCTTTAAAATTTACTCAGCTCTGTTTATGCAGCCACTCAACTGCAGTACATACAAGCCATTGTAAATATTCAGATGATAAAAAAATGGGCTGCATATGAACTTAAGAGATTAAAAATCATTCAGCTTTTGAATACTTTCCACAGAAAAAAACATACATTTTTAAACAATGTACTCACTTTTAATGAAAAACAAAATCCAATAAGGGGAGAAAATTCTTTTGTTTTGTATGGTTCAAATAGAATTGTAATGAATTATTCAAGCCTAAATAAACTGTTACTACACCATGCTGCAGGATAAAATTGGTTCATATGAATGAAGCATCAAAAAAGATTTTTATACATGGTGATTTTTTTTTCTGCATGATAGTACTCTTCTTCAAGTTACAAACAGTGCAGCAAATGACCATGGAGCTGTGATGGGAAGTTCTTCCACATGGAATATAATATTCTCTAGACCTCTTAACTTCAGACTATTACTAGTTTCACTCCAAGAAACAGTCTCATCTGATTGACAGCTTAAAATTTACAATATAAAGAAAAATCCTTGTGGTATTTTATGAATCAAAACCAAATTGTTCCTTTATAACAATGTGAAATTTACCTGAAAGATGGCATAGTCATAAAAATCTAGGGAAAATACTTTTTCATTTTTTTTAGTCGTGCCATTTACCTTCAGATTGTAGGTGATCATGAATCTCCACAGATTCCTTTTCTTTATTATCTATGAATTGCTATAGATTCTTGGGAAATACAGTGAAGTGTTTTTCCATTGCTTTCTCCATGGTTTGAAATTCAAAGTTTTCTTTCTCTTAGAGAGTCCAGCTTGAGGGATTTGTACAAAAGTAAACACAAGAGACTAACACAGAATTTTAATTTTAATGACTGAATTAGAAAACTAAGAATTTATGCAAATAAAAGATTTTGTTTACATTCATCTAATATCTCCAGTAAATGTTAGCCTCTTCAAACCATCATTTTTTTTTATTTTATTGCACTCAGAATTGAAGTCAATATTTTATGAATATTTTCAGGTTTCAAATGATAATGCAATGTTTTATTTACTTTTTCTCTCTCTATCAGTCCGTTAATGATTTTTTTCGTTTTCTCATCTTAATTTCTTTTCAGACCTACAGAACTTGATGCCTTAGTATTTGGCCACCTATTCACACTGATCACAACTGATCTGCCAGTAACAAAATTTGCTGAAGTCATTCAAAAGTATGAAAACTTGGTTGATTTCTGTGATAAAATTGAAGATACATATTTCAAAAAGAAAAATCTAAAAGCTTGAAGGCTGCAATTAGTCCGACACCTTTACACATAAAGTACAATCGTGGCAAGAGTGACAAAGCAAGATGAGAATGACCACAAAGAGTCTATTATTACAGCCAACTTGACCAAATAGACATGAATAAAGGAGTCATTACAGGTCTGATGGCAAAAACTGTAGAAAGTTCCTTTCTTGAGAAGAACTCATTTGCCAGAACCCAAGTCATTGGTTGTACTTGAAGTTTGTCTAGTGCCAAACATAGTCTTACAACTATTCATATCAAGCGATGTGTTTGAATTTGATTTCTAAATGATGGTTGAATGGACTGAGAGTAGAAATTGCATTGATTTTTTATCAATAGTTGTAAATTTAACAAACAAGAAAGGTTTCCTTAACAGATAATTAGTGGTTATTTAGTAATCAGTATGAAAGTTAGTTTTATGACTCCTACGATTGATGGTTTCTTGTCTCTCTAATTGGCATTAGATGTATCAGCAAGGACTTTCATTCACAATGAATAACTTATTTTGATCAGCATTTACACCAAGATCATTTTGCCAATTCTTGCTTTAATGGTTTTTTGGCCATTGGTTGAGCATTTTTGTTTCAGTTTGGTTTGGATGAAAAGATTTGTCACTGATTTGAAGTTTCCATTAGTTTCCTTCCCAAGTGGTTTTCTTGTATTTTATAAAAAGTTTTTCTTTTTTGTCAATCAGACATGAGTATTTTTTCTTAATTCTTCATTTTACTAAAATTTAAAATTTTTTAGTGATATTACTGAAACATTTTATTTTGAGGAATTATGATTGGATACATTTGAAACTATCACTAATATTTTTGTCTTTTTCAACATTTTTATCAAAGCATTTAACTTATCTCAATAAGTAAGCTGACCTGACAATTTAGGATTTACTCAGTTTACTATATCTTTGGGATGAAATTGATAAACTACTTCTATGATATCACCTGATGATTTATGAATACAAGTAAAATAAATATGGGACATATTTAAAAAGAAGAAAAAGAAGAGTGAACTACAGTCTGAATTATCTACATTTTTTTTTTTTTTTTTTTTAAGTTCAAATTTGTCAGACAAAAATGAATGCCAAGAAAATTTTTTTGTAAAAATGGGTTGATTTCAAAAAAATAAATAAGGGAAACATTTAAATATTCGAATTTCCTGGAAACATTTTGTGTCCAAATTCTATAGTCTGATGAGATTTTATTTTACTTAAAAAAAAAAAAAAAAAAGAACGTGTTATTTTCATTTGAATGGATAAAAACATTGAAATCTTCTTAAAGTTCGCATGTCCCACTCTTGATTTTACTTTCTAAATTAAAAAAAAGTTTATTAAGAGTAACAGTGAAATCAACTGTTTGTTTTGTCCATCTATCAAATATTTAATTCCTGGTGTCATTTCTTGCCTTCTTACTGCTGAATAGGCAGCAGAAAGTGTTTTTGACTGCTACCTTTGTGTTGGTCACTGGCACAGGAAATAAGTTTCTCATATTAGTAAATAAAAAAATTCTTAATTTTAATTTTGTCTTGCCTCATTTTCTATTCAGTTTATATTTTTTAAAAAATCTTCATTATTTTGTTTGAGATTTAGTAACTCGATATAGTTCTGAATTAGTATAATTATTTATAAAAAAATTTATCTTATTTCTTGTATCATAAAACATTTAAAATTATTAAAATCACTTTTCAATAAGGTTTGAGTAAAATTCATGACTTGCATAATATATGTTTCATTTATTAACAATAGTGATTGCTTCAGAGTCTGTCTATATTTACAAATATGGCGACAAAGATGAGGACAATAGTCCGACTAATGGACAAATATGGCGACAAAGATGAGGACAATAGTCCGACTAATGTAAATACTGTAGTGATTGCTTGTATTGCATATTTGACAATGTTATTAAAACTAGATATTGGTAGCCTCTACAACATGATAGATAAAGAATATCTGAATAAGATTATTCCTATGACAGCAATAAGCATTTTACTCCATATTCATTTGTTTCCACAGCCACAGTTTTAATGGGTGAAGATATCCAAGTGCCCACTAACTACAGTCAGTGGGCAATTGGTATTTGTAGTATGAATATAATTGTCAGTTATGACAAACCAATAAAATTGGTTACTTCTGCAAGAAAAAATATATAATGGTTCCTCTCTAAGAACACCAAGATATTTCATGCATATACACATATTTACAAAGTGAGGAAAATATTGTCATTGGTGTAAAATTTTCATCAATGTCTTGTTAGATTAAAATTATCTAATTAATCACAATTTCTCTTGTATATGTGTGTGTGTTATATATACACACGATATGAATAAAAATGGCTCTAGTGCTTGTTTTTACAAATTATATGCATTCTAAGATTTAAAGAACACATTGTTACAAAAATTATAAAAAGATCTTTACTTTAAATGTACAATGTCTCAAAGGTATAAATATATACATGTCTAATTCTACATGTATGTATGAATCTAATTTGTGCATGTTCAATTTTCTATGTTCTTTGAAGCATTTTTCATGTTAATGCTGTGGTCTATTTGGATTTTTTCTTACTTTAATATTAGTAAAATACTTGCTGCTGTCACAATTCCAATAATTATTGCTTTCTCTTGTAAGTTTTATTATTATGAGAAAGTTATTTAAGTGGTAGAACAGTCATTCTCACCCTCTTGAAGGAAATTTAGAATTTCAGAAAGGAATTACAACTTACAAACTACAATTCTAAAATGCACCTTTTGAGTGAAACAATTTTTAGAAGTATGAAATGAAATTTGGAAATCTAAAAAAAAAGGTGCATAAGCAAAAATAGGTTGAGAACTACTGCTATAAGGTCATCATTTGAGCCATAAATGTCTTAAAAATGAATCCCTGATTCAGTAAGGCTCACTCAATGGTTACCAATACTTTGGGTACTCAAATAGATTAACCAATCTCAGAAGAAGCTTGTTGAATGATAGTTTGTAGACTGACCTCAAAGACCTGCTCATATAGTGATTTCAATCATAACTGGGTGCCATTGTTTGAGATGAAGCTCTCCAAATATCAACATCAGCCAAGCTCAATACTGTCATTTGATGAAAACAAAATTATTTTTCAAGTTTCCAAATGTCAAACTTTATAGTACTTGTACTCAAATCATGAATTCAACTGCTTACACTTGACACTTTTCATAATTCTATTTGAAGTTATCATGAGCAAATAAAATGTTATAAAAGCAAGAGAAATTGCAATTTTAAGAGATAGTCTTTTGTATTACTGTACATCAGATGGTGTAAACATTGTATTAATCAAACCTTGTTAGAAATTCACTCAAAGAAAAACATTTGACTTCTGTAATATATATTTTTTTTTAGTTAATTTCTGAGGGTAACATGTATGTGTATAAAAAAAAATTGTATCATTGAAAATTGTTCTTGTTTTTTGTTTGTTTTGTTTGTTTTTTTTCTTAAAAAAAATAAAATGTAAATTAGTTATATGACTTTGTATTTATTTTTTTATTTTTCATCCCACTAACAATTCTTTTATTTTCTAAATAAGTATATGGATGTATTTTATGAAAATACATGCAAAATAACAAGAAAATTCAGATTATCTTAACCCATAAATGCCTACCATCTCCAAAAATGGAATGATGGGCATTTATGGGTTATATACAGAAATCTATAATTAATACCATATTTTTTTTTTTTTAAATTTTCACAATTGATTTTATAATGAGCATTAATGGGTTTAATATTATGTACATAAATATCAAATATAGTCTTGATAGTGCATAGGTGGAAATAAGAAAGAAATTCTATTGCAACAAATTCTTTTCTGTCTCCACAAGACACACAAACAAATTTGAAATTAATGAAAGCAAATATTCTGAACTATACTCATGGGTTGTTTTTGTGATGGGACATTAAACATTGATTCAAACATGTCTATAAGATCCACTTTATTGCCTCTTTGATAACAGGTGCTGATTTAATCGGTTTTGTCATAAGCGTTCTAAAGCAGGCATGTCAAACTGGCTGCCCACAGACCGCATGCAGCCTTTTACATGCATCTTGGCGGCCATCACAAAGGTTTCTATAGCCATGGTATATCAAATTTTGTCTATATTGGTAATGCAAATTATTAAAAACAGATCTTTTTTCAATTAGTATGATTAAATTGTTTATTCTCAATGGGTTTTTTGCTTTCGAATGTCAGCAACTATTTTTAACTTCCAGTTAATCATATGATCATCCTTGAAAACTAAATAAGAAAAATGTAAAGTGAAAACTTTCATAATTTTGTAATATTTTCCCATAAAAATGTCAAATTATACTCCATCACCATCAGCGGTAAATTTTACAGTGAAGGAGATTTCATAAAGCGATGTCTTGTAAAAACAGTTGAAATTGTATGTCCAGAGAAGTCACACTAATTTCAAGACATTTCATTAAGCAGGAACACTGTTGCTGAATGGATTGATGAAATGGTAGGTGATTTGAGTCGACAGTTGAAGACTTTATCATCAAGTTTTGAACATTTTTCTATTGCTCTGGATGAGACTGTTGACATAGATGGAATAGCACAGCTTGCTATTTTCATCAGGGCTTGTGACAATGAATTTCAAATTTATGAAGACTTAATTGAACTGATCTCAATGCATGATACTACAAGCCAGGACATTTTTGAGTAAGTTGAACAACTCCATAAGTATGGTCTTGATTTGAGTAAACTTGTGTGTTTATCTACTGATGGTGCTGCCACAATATGGTTGGGAGACATAATGGTGTTGCTGCCAAGTTAGTTACATGTTTATCCAGATTTAACATTCAAGCATTTTTCACTGTATAATTCATCACAGAACTTATGTTCTAAGATTTTGAAAGTAGATCATGTGTTGAGTTTTATCATGAAAACAGTGAACTATATCAGAGGTTGTGCTCTGCATCAATTGTTGTGTTTTTGGAAATGAAGTGTCAAAGCACACATGAATTGAAAGATGAAAGCTGGCTC